GCATTCGGGTTTTCAATTTCCGTTTGATAATCATTTCCGTTCAGAAGATTCAGGATCAATCAAAGCATCACAGTTACCGTTGTTCCAATCCAGAAACAGCAACTAAAACCCCTCCCAAATTTCCGAATCGCCCACAAACCCTAATCGCACTCAATTTCAGAATTTCCCAGACTCAAGCGACCGCCAACGGGAAACCCCGAGAAAATTCGACCGACTCGCTTGACCCACTATCGGAAATCGCATACCAGTCGTAACGAACGACGAAAGGAAGATAATTGCAGAATAATTTCGATGGAAGAAGACGGATGTTTCGCAGAAACACGAAAGAACGCAGAGAGAGAGAGAGCGTCGAAAGAACAGAGAGAGATCTGTTCCAAACTCTTTCTCTCTCAATCTCTCCCTCTATGAATTCAGAGAAACCAAAGCAAAAAAAAAAAATGCGACTTTCCTTGTGATTTGGATAAGAAAACCAGAATGCCAAATTTCTTTAATCGGAAGACGAAAAATTTTCACAATTTTTTTTTCGGGTAAGAAAGTTTTTAAGAGAGAGAAAGCGTGACAGAGCTTAAGAGAGAGAGAGAGCAATGGGTACGTTTGGTGTTGTTGCCTTCTCTACTCCTATATCGTGAACGTGCACATTACTGTTGAACAAAGAGCGTGGGCTAACCTGCACAGCGCGTGATGCAACCACGGTTTTCTCTCCTCTCTCTCTCTCTCTCTCTCATCGTTTCTTCTCTTTGGCTCGAAACCCAAATTCTGAAATCGAGTCTGATACGTTCTTTCCTCTTCTCTGATCTCTTTTTGGTGAAATGAAGCTGTTTCTATGGGGGCGTTTGGAAAAAAGTTTAGATCTTTTTGGTCACATTGAGACATGGGCTCCAAGAACCTTGGAACTGGAACTTACATGGTACGACGGTTTATTGGTCGGACGATTCTATATACGTCCAATCTCTATTGACCTTTTTATTCCATTTCTGTTCCTTTGTTGTATTTGGTTTGATTTAAGGTTACTGCTCGTCTTCTTTCGTGTAAAGGTGTAACCTTTATATATATATATACTGCGCTTCATTACTTTCACATGAAATTTCTTGTATAAACATAAAAGTAGGGTCAAGAAATTGAAATTTGCCCAGGAATCATGAAACCCAATTTTGATACTGTTCATGTAGACAGGGTGGAAACTGCTATATAAATGAAATGAATAAAATTGAAAAGTTTCCCACCATTTTATTTTTTCATATTCTTGAAGGGTATTCTCGTAAATACACGATATTGTATGACATCCTCCGACGTGAAAAGATTCAACTGCAGTAAAAAAGTGCATCCCCAGAGGGTGAAGTGAACAAGCTTCATAGGATCTAACACACAAATAGTTATACATACATACACACATATACATAGATAGTTATATATATATATATAAAGGCAAGTCCTAAGCCGCCATTACATCTGTGACAACAACTTTCTTCCTATTCTATGCTGAAGTGAACAAACTACAAAACGAAGATCGGCTTCTGACATAAGCTGGTTATTACAGCTAACTATGTAATTAACACCAATTAAACTACTTTTCTAACTAGCCAAACGGTTCTTAATTCTTCCTTTACTTCGCCCTACAAGTCAGGCTTCGGTTCATTGTTCTTCCTCTGCTTTTGCCCTCCATTTGTTTTATATCGTTCTTGCTCTGTTGTGTTCTGGGCTCTTGATGTTCTAATGCTTCTCCTCGGTTTTCGCAAACCTTCCTCTGATCCTTGGTTGATTGTCGGCAAGAGCCTTCCTACAAGCATACTGAAGCCACACAGAAACAACAAAAGATTCGGTTTAGGCCAATGAATCTTCTGAACGATAGTGGCACTGGCAAAGATCTTTGACCTGATGGTCTTTGATGAAGTTTACCTTGATTTTGCGCCTGAAATTCCTCCTGCTCTTCTTGTTCCTGTATCGGGAAAGCTTCTCCCGACGATCTTCAGAGGTGCAGTTACCGATGATCCGATCCAGGGGAGATTGGACACGCCCCGTGTTTCGTGTCCCGAGTGTCTGTCATAATGTGAAAATTTTGATCACTGCCCAGTTCCTTGGAGAAGACCAGAGACAGGAAAGTCTCCACATTTATCAATTTTAGGCTAACAAATTCACTTGTTTTGCCAGGAACAGACAATTTCAGCAAGGACTTAGAACAAAAACTTGTACCGAGTTCAATGTTTTCAGCAAGAATGACAACAGTTCAAACCTGTATATCGCCTTCACTAAAGGCTCTTCTCATCCCATAAACAGCTCCGAATTCCAAAGGAGGAAAATCATGGAAGTTCTGAATCATCACAGCCAACTCCACAGAGCCCAGATTACCTGAGCTCACGCTCTTCTGAATCGGTGCACCACTCACCACTTTACTGTCCAAAACCCCGTTCTGGTTCCCATCGATTTTTGCCACTACAGAGATGTTCTTGATGTCCAAGACCTCAGAGAATGGAGAATCTATGGCTGATTTCATCATAAGGTCCTGTTCGCATTCGTAGAAAGCATTGTCCAGTAGCTGTTGCTCATTCTGTAATGGCCCGAGATGGCCGAGTTCAAGCCCTTGTGAGGTTATAACGTCTTCACCGCAAGAGATCATAGTCAAGGCTTCGGACAGCGGATCTATGGCTAAGATCGGTTCTTCGATGATCGGTTCAGGGGCTTTGAACAGGTCACCTTCTCCTCCAAGATCATACTCAGACACATTCAATGCCTGAACCAAGTCACTCTGTATCAAATCAGAAGAAACATCAGAAACAACATTAAGACAGAAGGAACACAAGAACACAATGTTACTTGAACCAAACATAGAGCTGATTTTCTTGGATTACGCAGAGAAACATAACATTGAGACAGTTTTCTTGGTTCAAACTTCAAAGGAGGCAAGGTGGTAATGAAGTGAAAAAAGAGGGATAAGTCTTGAAGAACACGGAATCTATGTTCCAGAAAACAGAAAAAGTTGTTGTCAATCGTATAAGATACCTTCTTTTCCAGCTTGTAAAAAGATAAAAAGGGAATTCCCATTATGTTAACCATAAAAAGGTCCTGTTTGGTTGCCGAGAAAATTCCCTTCTTTCCCCCACGGAAAAGTTTGGTCTTTCATATCATGCATGATGCAGCACAAGAAGATTCCGTCTTTTCCTCTGGCCAGAAAGACCCAATTCCCACTTATTTTCTCAGCAGCCAAACAGGTGGTCAGCGCAGCCAGACAAAAATTCACATCCCATCAAGTGGCCAAAGTTTCTCGGGAAAACAAAATTTGGCCACTGTGGTAGTAAACCGGTTCAATGTGCAATTTGCCATTAACCACAGATTTTCCCAGGAAAAATCACTTCACTAGCAGACAAAATTCCTTCCATCTCCCTCAAAAGTTGCACAACAGGAACCGAACCATCAAAATTTACCCGGAAAAAACAGAACCCAAACACCAAAAAATCAGTATAAATCACCAAAATTTGAAGACCCATCTCAAGAAAACGAATGCAGGGGCGTGAAACAAACCCAGAAAGAGAAAAAAAAGCAACAAAAAAAATGGCTAAGACAACAAAGGAACCTCATAGAAAAAGGGCAAGAAAACGGCTAAAAGGAAACTCTTTTTATTGTCTCCGAGGAAGAGGAAGAAGAAAACCAACCATTGGACCATTGAGCTTGTGGGATTCGGAGAGTTCTTCAAGTTGCTGAATTTCAGGAGAACAATTCTGCATGTATCGGAAAAACAACCCAGTTTCTGTAGACATTTCCTATTCTCCTTGTTCTTGCTCTCTCAAATCTGAGGCTGGAAATGGGTTTAGAGCAGAGGAGAGTGACCATAAAAAACAAACACAGACAGAGGGGCAACGCCACACCACGACCTGAGGGGAAAGTTTGGTACTTTGCCCTAATAAATAATACCCTATAGATATAAAAACTCCAAAAAAGGACAAGAAAGCAAAAAAAAAAAAAAGATGAAAAAAAATTGTGTCCCACCATACACCCTCTTATTTCCATGAAAGTTGAGATTTTTCTTTTTGGTAAAAACTCGTTGTAAATGAATAATTATAATTTTTTTTAAAATTCCGAAGAATGGAATCCACCAAGATGCTATACCCCAATTGATATAAAAATTTAAGAAAAAAAATTGTAAATTAATTTTTTAAAAGATAAAAAAAATCATATATTTATCTATAAAACGTACAAAAGCAGTGTATTTATTTGAACTTTTTTTCTGAAATAATTATAGCTATAAAATTTTGGACGGTACCTTTTGAAATGTTAAATGGTTTTCCAATTTTCATTTTTCTCCTTTTGCAAATTGAGAAATTCAAGTTACATCCTCCAAATTTGGAACCATAGGATAGCAATAATGAAATAAAGACAGAGAATTTGTTACATTTTTCTGAACCTCTCTATTAATATATGTTTCGTATGGTTGAAAGTGACACATGATATGGACCCTCTTACATTATTGGTCTTATTTCATCGTATTAGACAAAGAAATTAAATGTAAGTGTTTCTCAGACTATGTTTTTTGCTCTTAACGCTTCATGTGTTTTTTATTAAATGAATAAAATTGTTAGGAAAGATATTTACATTGATTTTTCATCTCTCCAAGTTAAAAATAAAAAGTGTCCTTATATGCTCCATTTTTTTTTCTTCCTAGTAAATATTTTGGCTTCATAGTATTATAATATAACGACTCTTTGCAAAGTATATCAAAATTAAAACATTAATTTTTGAATTTCACTAAAAATATATATATAATTTTTATTCTAATTTCCTTGTGGAATTTAACACATTAACAGTACCCTTTTGGAAAATAAAAAATAAAAAATAATAATCTGCTAGAAGGACAAAGTAATGCCAAAGTCCACTTTAATGAACAGCGAGCACTCTACTTTTCTACTTGTGTGTTCATATTTCACAAAAGTCGAATAATAATAATAATAATAATAATAATAATAATAATAATAATAATAATAATCTACATATGGTAATATATTTGCATAATACGTAACGAGTAGTTCTTGTGCGGTAAACGTTTTCCCAAAAAAAAAATTACATGGGAGAACCCAAAATTAACTGGAATTAATTTGTTTTTAAAAGAACAAGTAGTTTCGGCTTGTGAAGTTGGTTTCATATGGGTCTGGTTATGAATGGACGTGTGATGAGGTGGTGAAATGAATCCGGTCCATATTGCAGAGAAGAACCTTATTATTATTATTATTATTATTATTATTATTATTATTATTGCAAGCACAAAGAATAATATTGGGGTCTCAAAATCAATCACAAGGGACAAAAGAAGTGGCGAGAGGACGATCAAAGTGCGTAACCTATTGCTAATTGTCCATTTATTATTGTCGGAAATATTCAATCGCTCAAAAAGGTAGGCTTTTTATAAAATGGTGTTCTACAAGTGGCGCTATACAACCTTTATGCAAATTAAAATTAAATATAAAGGTTGAGGAAAACATAGAGCAAATAAAAAACAATAGAAAAAGAAATGACCATCAATTTTCGTAACTGTTGCATTGAAATTTAAGTATAATTTACATCTACTATATTACCAACGTCCAAAACAAGAAAGACCCATTTCCATGTACATGTACATGTGGGTATGGGGGCAAAATAACAAAAATAACCTTAAAAATGACAAGAGCAACAGCCATACCTTTAGAATTTCTAGGGTTTTCTAAAAAACTAATATTTTTAATAAAATTACAGAAATACCAGAATAACTAGTCTGACCAAAAAATTTTGGTATGACCAGTATGACCAATTCAAATGGTATGACCAGTTTGACTAGTTTGACTAAATTTCGATTAGTTTAACGTTACATTTGGAAAATTAATATTAGAAGAATAAAAAATAATTGGTATCAGAGCAAGGTAACGATTATGGACAACGAAAAAATTGATTTTTCGAAGGGATTACCATTAATATTAACCAATGAAGATGAATGTTATCCCGGATTTCCTTATAAGGGAAAGGTGATAATAATACCTAAAAACCTTCATAATCAAAGTCGATATTATATTGGTACCATCTTTGACGATGATGGTACAAATCCCGTCTTGACTATCTACAATCCAGTACATGATTCGTTTCGTACCTGATATATGCCTTTATAGTCTTCCTGTTACGCAGGACGTTTGACGTAATCAAAGCACGCAACTCCTCATGTTGGATTCCGTAGATATCTCAGGTCTTAGGATCCAATCATGGAACCGTCATATGAGATTCAAGTCATGACGCTAGTCCATGTGACAATCTCATGCGGGTCAATCCAGTATTCCGTTCTCCAACGAATACCTATGATCGTGATCGTATCCAATACCTATGATCATCTATGTGATCATCAATCACACATCATACTAGTCTTATTATGTCATCATTCCCATAATGACACAAGACTAGGGAGTTTAGTATCATTCATAATGATACATGGATTTCATAACACATCTAGTATGCAAGAACATGTAATGAATCAAATACTCTCATAAAACCGTAGAAAGTATCAATACATCAAATGTATCTGAATAAAGCTCATAAACAGTACATCATAGAGCACTAAACCAACATACATGACGTACCACATACACGAAGATGCATCACCACCCCCGAGCTGACTCGCCAACGCACCAATCCCGTAAATCCGACCTTTCGCATCGGGAGGAACGACCTTCAAAACAATATGTAAATAATATTTAAACTCTAACCTATTATATTATTTTAAATACAAAAATTACCTCGAGATACAAGCTATTGATTTCCTGCGGAGTCAATTGCGTTGAACCGCTGCTCTCGTCCATCGTCATTCGATCGGTAATCTTCGATTGAATGGCCTCTTCAATTTCTTGGGCACGATGATCTACGTACGTCCCATCCGATCGACGATGCGTGTCTTGTAAGACACGCAGAGCAGACGGTTGAACGCCTTCTTTCTCGGCCTAAACAAGTTATACAAAAATATTAGTAAAATTTAAAAACAAATAAATCAATTTTCACAAAATACTTACAATATTGAGAGCAACTTTAGCAAACGATCTTCTCCCCGCAGTGTGAGTTCCTGGGGCACGGTCGGAAGCAGACTTCGCCTTTCGATTCGTCGATGCGATCCGACTCTTCTCTTGAGATTCCTCTGAATCCCATATTACCTCGAGCTGCGCCCAGATGTCTAAACTAATCCAGTCCGGCTTCTTCCGCAAGAATTTCAACCTATAAAGGTTATCTCGCAATCTCGCACCGAGACAATCCTTCCACGCACGATGGACGACATCATGCACAGAAGGATCCCAGTAATAAGATTGCTTTAAACAATATGTGTTAGTTATTTAATACTAAAAAAGATATATTAAACAAAAAACGAACAAGTTAAGACAATACCGCAAAAGCAGCAAACCATCGTGCCAAGACATCTTGCGGGACCCGAGAGATGCTACGCCACGGGCCATGATAATCAGAAC